TCAGGCTGACCTTACACTCGTGATCCTCCTGGCCCAGTCCCTGAATGCAAAGATTGTATCATGAGCAACCATATTTGCTCATATTCCAATTCTCATGATGATGAGTGTGTGTGTGTGTGCGTGTGCGTGTGCGTGTGTGTGTGTGTGTGTGTGTGTGTGTGTGTTACTGTTCAGTGGTAGCCAATGTCTGGCATAGCTCTCAGTGAGCCTTCTCTTCTCTTTTAGTGTTGATTGGTTTGTGTGACAAATAGAATAATGTGGTGTGGCTGTCTCAAACTGCTCCTGACTTGGTTTCTCCTGGATCACTTCCTTTTATAGATGTCAGCTCCCATACTCCACAGAGAGGGGTCGTCTCCTGTCTCCTCTGAAAGCAGACGGTAGCAGTATCAACTTGCCAACTACTTGAGAATATCAACCTGGAAACTTTTTTTCATCCCTGGCCAAGTCTTCAGATGAGTCTAGCTCTGGTGAACATCCTAACTGTATTTTTAAAAAGTTATTTATTTTTATTTTATGTGTGTTCGTGCTTTGCCTGTATGTATGTCTGGGTGAGGGTGCCAGAGCCCCTGGAACTGGAGCTACAGACAGTTGTGAGCCACCATGTGGGTGCTAGTCATTGAAACCAGTACTTCTGGAAGAGCATCCAGTGCTCTTAACCACTGAGCCATCTCTCTTAAAAGACCTTCTGAATAGAATCACCAGATAATCTTCTCAATTTCTGACAGCATATAATCTTCTCAATTTCTGACCAGCATAAACCATAATATTTTTAAATGTTTATTGTTTTAAGCCACTAAGGTTTTGGTTTTGTTTGGCTTTTTTGTTTGGTTCTGGATTTTTTTGGGGGGGGGAATCTCACTATCTAGCCTTGGCTGGCCTGGAATTTGTTAATCTTGAATTCACAGATTTACCTGCCAAATCCTGGGATTAAAGATAGGTAGGTAGGTAGATAAATAGATAGAATAGATAGATAGATAGATAGATAGATAGATAGATAGATAGATAGATAGAGGTAGATAGATAGATAGATAGGCCACAAAGTTTTGGAGTGATTGATTACGTAGTAACACATAATAAGACCAGACACGGTGGCACACACCTTTAATGACAGTGTTCAAGAGGCTAAGGCAGGTGGATCTCTGAATTCTAGGCCAGCCTGGTCTACAAAACAAGTCCAGGACAGCCAGAGCTTGTAACACAGAGAAACCCTGTCTTGAAACCAACACCCCTCGCCCCCAATAAAACCCAATAAGTAATGAAAATATGCCAACATAGTTTCAATTCCCAAGAGCGCTTATTCTTATTTAATTATAAGTATCTGTCCTTGTGAAGACAAAACACCAAGCAATCACAAATAGCCAAATAGCAAAAAAAAAAAAAGTGCATTTTACATCAATCACTGAGGTAATTTCCCCCATAAAAATTTTTATATCAGAGGCTAGAGGCTAGAGGCTAGAGGCAAGGCTAACAGTTAAGAGCTGTTGCTGCTCTCGCAGAGGGCCCAGCGTTGGTTCCACTATCCAAATGGTGGCTCAGAACTCTCTGTAACTCCAGTTTCAAAGGACCTAATGTACTCACTGGCCTCTGTGGGTACTAGGTACACTTGAGGGATATATACATGCTTGCAAGCAAAACATCATACACATTAAGAAAATATTTTTAAAGCCAGGCAGTGGTGGTGCACCCCTTTAATCCCAGCACTTGGGAGGCAGAAGCAGGCAGATTTCTGAGTTCGAGGCCAGCCTTGTCTACAAAGTGAGTTCCAGGACAGCCAGGGCTACACAGAGAAACCCTGTCAAAAAGCCAAAAATAAATTAATAAATAAATTTTATATCAGAGATGAATGATTATGCTACCAATGTCTCATTTTCTATAGGTTACTGTTTTGTTATTTATTGATTGATTTTTGAAACATGGTCTCAGTGTGTAGCCCTGCCTGGCCTGGAACTCACTATTTAGACCAGACTGGCCTTGAGCTCACCTGCCTCTGCTTCTGAAGTGCTGAGATTAAAGGCCTGTGCCACGAAGCCCAGCTTCTGTAAACCATTTATGACTCATGCAATAGGTAACCAATTTAAAGATAGCAATGTTATTGATGAACCACTAGGCCCCAACGGATTGTCAGTTCCACACAGCAGTTCTCAAGAGGGGAAGACTTTTCTCTCCAGTGAATTTTTTGAAAGTGTTTGGAGGTATTTTCTCTGACATCTAGGGGAATGGAACAGCTGAGCATAGCATGGAGAAAGATTGGGGCCATTCCACAATAAACATTACACACACACACACAGATACACAGATACACACACGGACAGGTACACACACACAGACACACACACACAGACACACACACCACAAATCCACAATAAACAGGGCATCCCCCTGCAACAAAGAAATCCTGTCCAGAGGTTTAGGATACAGCATAGTGGCAGTAGCCCTGCGTAGCAAATGTGAGGCCTTAGGTTCAATTTCCAATTCAAACACACACACACACACACACACACACACACACACACACACACACACACACAGAGAGAGAGAGAGAGAGAGAGAGAGAGAGAGAGAGAGAGAGATTCTTCTCGAAGTGCCAATAATGACAAAAAATGAGAAACCCTAGTTCACCATAGATGACAGAAGGCAGAATAACGAAAGATATAGTTATATTAATATCTTTTAAATCTATTTACCTTTATTTTATGTGCATTGGTGGTTTTGCCTGCATGTATGTTTGTGTAAGAGTATCAGATCTTAGAATTACAGATGGTTGTGAGCTGCCATGTGGGTCCTCTGGAAGAACATTCAGTGCCCTTAACCACTGAGCCATCTCTCCAGCCCCTATATTAATTAACAGTGATTGAAATACTAAGACAATGTACTGAGAGAATAACAACACACATCTTCTTTCACCCTTCCTCTCCACGGACTTAGCGATCTGTTGTAATTATTGTGGATTTGGGGGGGAACATACATAATAAAATGTTGTAGTTATTTGTGTTTGCACTACTAAATAGTGAATGATCACAAATATTATTCCTGACAGTTTGATCCTTGGCTAAACATGGTAAAACTAAGAGGAACCTCCGTTGGTCACCCAAGTGTCACATGCCCTTTTTCTCAGCTGTGCAGTAGCCCCGTCTTATTACTCTCAAGGTCAGTCCTGATTTGGGCTCTCATCCCTTGGCATAGATGGCTAAAACGCCTTGTCTAGAGTTCAGTGGGTCTCTCACAATGGACCGTAGTGGAAACAGTTCCCCAGGGAGCCATGACATCTGTTCTAGTTTCCTTTCTGTTGCTGTAATAAAATATTCTGACTGAAGCAATTCTGAAGAGGAAAGGAAGTGGTCACCATTCCGGGTCACAGTCCATCACTGAGAGAAGTCAGAGCAGGAGCTCCAGACAGGAGTCTGAAGTAGAAAGCATGAAGGGTTGCTGACTGTGGGCTCTCTCACAGGCCAGCTTTCTCATAGCCGTGGACCACCTGCCTAGTGATGGTGCCGCCCACAGTGGGCGAGGATGTCCTATATCAGTTAACAAGCAAGACAGTCCCCCGCAGGTCAATATAATCTAGGCAATTTCTCAATGGAGATTTTCTTCTCAGATGACCCTTAGACTTTGTTGGATTGACAAAGTTAACTATGGTAACATGTAAATCTGAAAAAAAAAAACAGTTTCAGGAATGGAAAGCCCAGATTCCCCAAGTTATATATGATACAAATAAGTCTTCTTTCTGCTCCTCTGTTCTTTGGCTATGTATTCTGCCTATTAAGGACACAGAATCACAGATGGCTATTGATTTAGTTTGGGAGGTATTTTTTATTTGCCTTTATAAAAAGATTTTTTAATTTATTTTTTATGTGTATGAGAGTCTTTGCCTGGATAGATAGATAGATAGATAGATAGATAGATAGATAGATAGATAGATGTATCATATGCATGTCTGGTGCCCATAGAAGCTACAAAGGGACCTCAGATCTCCTGCTGGAAGCTGCCATGTGAGTTCTGGGAAGTAAACCTGGGTTCCCTGAAAAAGCAGCCAGAGTTCTTAACCACTGAGCCATCTCTCCAGCTTACAATATCATATATATGTGTGTGTGTGTGTGTGCGTGTATGTGTATATATACACATTTTTATATTGTATCATATTGTATGTTACCAATTATATATAATTTTTATATTTATATTATATATTATATATCACCTATATCAATATTGTATACTGTATTATAAAATTATTATATATTAATATGTATAATATGATTACATATATGTGTGTGTGTGTATATTTAAAAGCAATTATTAATCCAGGGTAGGAAGGAGGCCTGGTTCAACTGACTGACTTCCCCCAATTTCTGCTCCCTGGGAGATCAGTGTTGTGAGTGCATGTGAAATGGGGGGGCCCTCCCCCACAGTGCCCTTCCCCCTCCTGGGACCCACTCACACTACACCCTCTTCCCAAGTCCCCAGCCCACCTCCCCTTGAGAAAAACTGGACATGGAGATGGAGATGGGGAGGGAGCCAGCCCAGAGGAGGCCCCTTTTCTGTAGCACTAGATGGGGGAGGGACAGCTGGGGTTCCCCCACCCATTCCACCTCCCTCTAAACTCCTGACCAACTCCCAGTCAGTGTCTGAGCCTCCTTGTTCCCTTGGCACCCCTGGTGAATCCTCGGTGATGATTTTGCTTTTGGCAACTTCGGGAATAAATGGCAATTCTCGAAAAAAAAAAAAAAAGCAATTATTTCCTGGATTAGAACAAGAAGTTCCAGACAGCTCCCCCCTTTGGTTCTATTCGTTTTAATGGAGTAACATTTGAACCTGAGCAGGCATCTAGACAAAGGCAAAGAATTAGGGGCCATCGAGATCCCCATTCTACGTTATTTGAAGTGTTAAGTTTCTAACTGTAAAGCCCGTGACATTTTTAGATAAGCAACATTTGGTCTTCCCCGTCACATCCAATGGCCACAGCTCAGTGTATACCCCTTACCATGTAAACCATGTCACATAGCCACGGTAGGAGGCCACTGTGTCTCACTTTATTTTCTTTTCAATCACATAAAGGAATCTATCTGTAATTCACAATGCAAGTCCGGTTCCTGAACACTTTAGGTATGTAGTATTGTTCATCAACTTGCTATCAAATTAAAATTTTCAGAATGGCTTTTAAAGTTATTGTATAATAATGAGAGTATATGTTAATTTCATAATGTTGATCCAATACACATATAATTGCAGATATTTTCCAGAACAATAAGATAGACAACAGCGTTAAAGCATAATTCCTCATGAATTAATGAGAAAAGGGGTAACAGGATTCAAGAGTCTTTTCCAGGCATTTTTAATTTTCTGTAAAACTCTTTATCCTGAGACTGATCATTTAAACGTGGTACACAAAGCATTCTGAATACATTGTTCCGCGTGGAGGTGGGGAGACAGAGATGGTCACTTTCATATAATAAAATCTTCTTCTGGATGTTCCTGGTTTTGCTCGGTAAGCATCCTGTCAAAAGGCCTATAGTTGAAATAGACAATATTGTTTTCATCTACTGGCTGGTATTCCCATTCCATGTCACCTAGGAAGCCGCTTCCCGAGCCAGAACCGGAGCCAGAGCCTGAGCCGGAGCCAGAGCCCGAGCCAGAGCCGGAGCCCGAGCCCGAGCCTGAGCCGGAGCCCGAGCCCGATGCCGACCCAGAATAGTCATCAGAAATGGGGAAGAAGTCTTTCGGGAATCCTCCCATCCTGAAATACAAAGAAAAAAATATAAAGTTCTACTTACAATGTAATTTCACACGAAGTATCGCAGCGTTTGGGTGGTGGGGTTGGAGTCATCCTTGGACACATAGTGAATTGCAGCCAGCACGGGCTGCCGGAGCCCTTTCTCCAAAAAGAAAACAAAAATGGCAGGCGTGGGTGGGGGTGGGTTTAGGGGATAGGAGGAGTGGGGGACAACATGGAAATAAATTCAAGCACCCAGTTGTTCAATTCAAAAAGTTAAAAATCTGCTTCAGCGCTTCTAAGCAAAGAGGCAGGGCTGAGGAGACAACTCCGGGGTCAGAGCCGTTGCTACTCTTACAGAGGAGCTGGGATTGGGTTTCAGCATCCACACGGAGGCTCAAAACCATCTGTAAACTCCAGTTTCAGAGACTCTGACACCTTCTGGCCTCTTCCAGCACCATGAGCAATGTAAATAAGTTAAAAAAAAAAAAAAGATCAAAGAGAAAGCAGCTACGGAAACAACCTGGGTCAGGTGGATGGATGGTTAGAAGCCACAGAAGGAACTGTTTCAAAGGAATCGGTCTTTGGGTCAATCACTTTGAAAGGCAGTGAAGAGGTCAAGAAACCTAAAAATAGGGTTGCGATCAATAGATGTGTCAATCACCAGACAGACACTCAGGATTGAGGGCAGGATCGGAGATCCAACTGTGTGTGTTGATGGTCCGGGGTGGGGGGATTGGGAGATGGGGGTTGGGGTGGGGGTTGGAAGTGGGGCAAAAGCAAACATATAGAAGCATCCCTTCTATGAAGTGCTGATGTGACAAGTTTGGTGGCACATGCTTTTAATCCCAGCATTTAAGAAGCAGAGGCAGGTAGATCTCTGAGTTCAAGGTCAGGACAGCCAGAAGGGCCATATAGCCAGATGAGACTGTCTCAAACAAACAAACAAACAAATCCATCGGATTCAATAAAGAGCAGAGTGGAGAAATAGCTATAAATGTAGTCAAGGGAGGGAGTCTATTCAACGTCAGGAAGCTCAAGAATATGTCGGTATACTGGTGTAAGATGCCGGATCCAGAGAGGCACCTACAGAACGCCAGAGACAAGGTGGTGGATACAGGGAAACTCTGAATAGCTAACACAAGGAAACTGTTTAAACATGGCATAGTAGAGAAGTGAAATCAACAAGAGATAGCGAAGATGACCAATGGGCATCTCCCCACACTAGCCAGCAAGATGGTTCATTACACAAACGTGCCGGCTGCCAAGCCTGACGACTTAAGTTCAATTCCCCAGACAACTCATTCCCGTAAGCAAGCTGTCCTCTAACTGCCACACATACACTCAGATGTGTTCATGCGTGTGATACAGGTGCCCAAGGGAAAAACCAACTTGTGCTGCTTCTAGGTAGTAGATGATGGCCTGAGGCAAGATAGGTAGCCGAGCCTGGACTTGAACTCGAAACCGCCTTGGTTGATCCATTTAGAGGAATGTGTCACCATGCCTAGCTGACTTTGGGTCCCAACAGTATTTATTTGTATATCATTGTGTGGTGGTTTGCATATGCTTGGCCCAAGGAGTGGCACTATTAGGAGGTGTGGCCTCGTTGAACGAGGGTGTCGCTGTGGGGGATGGGCTTAGAGAGCTAGCTGCCTAAAGATGCCAGTCCACTAGCTGCCTTCAGATGAAGATGTAGAACTCTCAGCTCCTCCTGCACCATGCCTGCCTGGATGCTGCCATGCTCCGGCCTTGATGATAATGGACTGAACTTCTGAACCTATAAGGCAGCCCCAGTTAAATGTTGTCCTTATAAGAGTTGCCTTGGTCACGGTGTCTGTTCTCCGCAATGGAAACCCTAGCTAACTAAGACCCATTGCTTTTCCAGAACACACTGAATAGCAAGTCGTCCATAAAGCAAAATGAATAAATAAACAGTAATGAAAAATAGAAAAGATGAAGCAAAGCCAAATGATTAATTTCAGTATTTAATAAATGTGTTCCAACTAAGCACAAACAACAACAAAACCCAGCTGTGGTGCTGTGGTAGCACACACCTTTAATCCCAGCACTCAGAGACAGAGGTAAGCTGATCTTTCTGAGTTCAAGCTTAGCCTGGTCTAAATGGCAAGTTCTAGGCTAGCCAGGGAAGCATAGTAAAAATCCTTTCTCAAAAAAAAAAATCTAACTCAATTCGATTTTAATATATAAACGTTTTATTTGCCTAATATGTTGGGGAAAATAGTTCCCAATGTTTATCTCTGCCACCCACAAGAAACCCTTATACAAACATGGATGAGTCCAAGTACATTGGCACATCTCATGCTTCAGCACACATGGCCGGCTTTTGCCTTCTGTGAAGTAGAAAACAATTACCACAGAAAGAAAGAATCTGAGACGAAAGCACTCAGGCACTCCTGTGAGATGGAGCAAGTCTACTTACAAAACAGGATCGGTCATCGGAGGGCCGATGTTGTTGGATTCATCTGCTATTAGGTCGAACTGTGGTCCCTTCTCCTCCATGCAGTTTGCAAAAAAGCCATCCGGTTTGCAGCGGACCCACTGGTACCTAGCTCTCTGAGCAGGATAACCTGTCCGAACAAGGAACCCACGTGGGTGGTAAGTATCTCTCACTCAGTTCGGTTCATTAGAATTGGTTACACTCTGTCTCTAACGAGGTAATTACATGGATTCTGAATTTGGCAGAAGGTCGTAGGTTTTATGTCCAACAATGCCGGTGACAGACATTGTCGTTCTCATGGTACTTCTTCACAGTAGCGACTGACTCAAGCGCACACAATAAGGTCAGTGGCCGGGCAGTGATGGCGCACGCCTTTAATCCCAGCACTTGGGAAGCAGAGGCAGGCGGATTTCTGAGTTCGAGGCCAGCCTGGTCTACAGAGTGAGTTCCAAGACAGCCAGGGATACACAGAGAAACCCTGTCTTGAAAAACAAACAAACAAACAAAACAAAAACAATAGGGCCAGTGAAGTGGTTCAGGGGGTAAACCTGTTTGCTGTTGACCCAGAAGATCCGAGTGCAATCCCCCAGATCCACATGATGGGAGGGGAGAACTAACAAATTCTCCCACAAATTGTCCTCTGATTTAGGCACACACGTACATAACACATGCGCGGGTGTGTGTGCGGGTGCACGCACACTCACACATGCGCACACCACACTAGATACAGGCACACACCCACACACCAGAAATAAAACAACAAAAGAATAAAAGGGCTAGCTTTTAAATAGAATCGCTTTGGGAATTAGGGCTGAGAGAGGATGCTCAGCTCTGCCTCCCGCCAGGTCTGCAGCCTTGACCTCTGAACTCGCACTGTAAACTGGCGTCCAGTGTCATCCTAAGTTTGTCACAAAACTTAAATAAGAGAAAAAGAAAAAAGAAAAAGTTAAATAAGAAGATTCATATGAAGACCTTAAAATAATGCCAGGCATTGTAGTAACTAGAGATATTAACTTCTTTTCTACACACACTTGTGTCATAGTCTAGGCCCTCCTGGATCTTAATTTTTTTCTTCTTTTTCTTTTTTGAGACAGGGTCTCACTACGTAGCCCCAGTTCTCCTGGAACTCACTCTGCAGACCAGGCTGACCTCGAACTCAGAGATCTGCCTCCCAAGTGCTGGGTTTAAAGGCCTGTGCCACCACAGTCTTGGAGTTCTTAAACCTCCTGCCTCAGTACTGACAGTGGTGGTATCACAAGTGTGGGCTTCCATGCCCATGTTTGTATCTTTACTTCCACATTACCCAGTGGCTCAGTGTAAGAGTCAGGATTGAAATCTGTACCCAAGCCCAAAGCCTGCCTTCTTTTTATAGAGACGACTCAGATCTCACGTTTTCCTTGCTGCTAGTATGAGATGGGGTTTTGCTATGTAGCCCAGGATAACCTTGAATGGGGAAGAGGATGCCACCCTTGCACCACCAAACCCTGCTTGGAGATGAATCCATGGAGAGTTCAGACAGGTTGAGGAAATTAGGCCTGGTGGCATAGGCCTGCAATCCTAGTTACTCTCAGAAGGCTGAGATAGAAAGGTCTCAAGTTCAAGGCCTGTCAGAGCTAGCCTGAGCTGGTGTGGGAGACCCTATTGTAGAGAACTTACGAGACACTAGAAAGGCAGTAGATTTGATCCCTAGTAGTAGGGCAGGGACACATGGTTGACTACATGGAGATGACCCAAAACAGTACAGCACCCTGCAGCTTGTGTTTTAGAACCCTATGGCAATTTAAAATTTTTTAAACCTACATTTTATTAATTTGGGGAGGGGGGTGAATGTGTGGCCTAAAGCACACAGGTGAAGGTCAGAGAAGATCTTGTGGGAGTTGGTTCTTTCTTCTACCACAGAGGTTTCAGGGGTTTAACTCAGATCTTTAGGCTTAGCATCTTTCCCCCACTGATTTTATTTGTTTGTTTGTTTGTTTGTTTGAGATAGGGTTTCTCTGTGTAGCCCTGGCTGTCCTGGAACTTGCTCTGTCGACCAGGCTGGCTTCAAACTCACAGTTCCTCCTGCCTCTGCCTGTTGAGTATTGGGATTAAGTGCTTATGTCACCACTACCCAGCTCCCGTACAGCATTCTGAAGAATGAAATGTGGTGCAAGGCTGGTTCTCTTTCTTTGTGCTCAGAAAGCCGAGGAACAAGCCTCCTCTGTTCCCAGATGGACACAGGTCGGTCTCTTGGATTTTTCTGTTGTTGATCTGGTGTGTATTTTTAGATAGCATCTCACACTGTAACTAACCATCGCTGGCCTAGAAGCTGCTACGAAAAACAGGACAACATGGATCTGTGGAGGTCTCACAACCTCTGCCTCCTTTGCCTCAAATGCTTGGATTGCAGGTGCATGCCACCATTAAAAGCCAGGAGATATGTGCTTCCTGATACAGTTTACTGAGGTTGAAGCTGTCGGTGAGAGACATTGCACCACCTTTGAGTAGCTCTTCTTCTTCCTACCCAAGGACAAGCTTTGCTCAGAGGAGTGTAGCTCAGAGTCACCCAGTGAGGAGGCGTGTGTCTGGAATTCTTGCAAAGGAGGGAAAGCAGTGTACTAGCCCAGGGTGTTAAGGGGAGGCGGCATTCAGAGAAACGGCAAGGTGGTCCCTCGTCCCAGGGTACGGACTAAATGGTGAAGAATGTTCTGGAAGAACATAGGTACAGCCTAGGGAAATTGATATTTGCAAATGAGTTTGCTGGAGGGATAGCTCAGCAGTAGAATATGTGGATAGCATGTGCCAGCCCCTGTGTTCCAGCTACAGAATCTCCAATAACGTTTTTAAACGGTATGAATGCGTGTGCCCTCTGCAAGAGCGACAAGTGCCTTTAACCAACGAGCCATCTCTGCAGCCCATAACTTAAAATGTGAAGTATTTAAATACAAGTGAAAAAAGATCAGGGAAACAGGCCACCACTGTGCACACACCTTAGTTTCAACAACATCGACAAACATTGCATTAAGTGGGAGAAAACACGCAAAAGGACCGTGATAATAGAATCTGGCAAGTTGTTGTTTTTTTGTTTTGTTTTTGTTTTTGTTTCGAGACAGGGTTTCTGTGTGTAGTCCTGGCTGTCCTGAACTCACTCTGTAGACCAGGCTGGCTTCAAACTCAGAAATCTGCCTGCCTCTGCCTCCCAAGTGCTAGGATTAAAGGTGTGCCACCACTGCCCAGTGAATCTGGCAAGTTTTAAAGTGTGTTTTTTAAATTGCTGTAATAAACGACATTCCTCTGAGATATAAGCATTTAAAAGACTCCAATATGGGGCAGGGGGGCTGGAGAGATGGCTCAGAGGTTAAGAGCACTGACTGCTCTTCTAGAGGTCCTGAGTTCAATTCCCAGCAATCACATGGTGGCTTACAACCATCCGTAATGGGATCCGATGCCCTCTTCTGGTGTGTCTGAAGACAGCTACTGTGTACTCATATGCATAAAATAATTTTTTCTAAAGAGTCCAATATAGGGCTGGAGAGATGACTCAGTGGTTAAAAGTCTGCAGTGTCCTCACATAGGAGCCAGGCTCAGGTCCCAGAACCCACACTAACTGCAGTCACAGGGGATCTGATTCCCTCTTGTTGCCTCTGCAGGCATCAGGCATGCACAGACTGAAGCACTCATACACATTTTTTTTTAAATGAAATGATGTTAAAAAAAAAAAAAGCTAGATTCTTGGAATGGTGGTCCCAGCTTTCCAAATGCTGGTCTCCCTGAAAAAGAGGACAACACTGATCCTTTTCTGAGAGTAAACCCCTTGGAGGGAGAGCGGGTCAACCCTTAGGACCGCTCTGGTTCTCGGGTTATGGTGAATAACGCTATGGTAATGAGCTCTTGATTCATGTGGTTACGAAAGCCGGTCAACACAAGACTGTGCACACGGCCCAAGTTCAATGCATTTTAAAGCTTTTTTCCCACCTCTTGATTTTTCCCCCCTGCGGCATCTAGCTTTGACATTTGAGTCTATTGTATTGGGGGTGGGAGAGATGTAGAGCAGCCTGCTGACCAGCAGAGGGCGATATGTTCCCACCTCAGCTGCCAAGAGCCGCTCCATCCATTAAAACCGTAAAGTTAACCCCGTCTACGGTTGAATGTTTCTGCAGTATTGTGTTTCCTTTTCGCTTTATTTTATCTTTAGCAGCCATATTTTTTTTAAGTTAAAAATGTAAAAGATTAAGTACATTGTGCTTGAACACATTAAAACATCATTTAACACGTAGTCAATTTTAAAGTTACGAGTGAGATTTTTATATTGTTTTAAAGCAAACTCTTCCAAATTGTGCATATGATGAACCCATATGTCAATCGAGACTCAGCGTATTTCTTTGGTTGTTGTTTTTGTTTTTCCTTTCTCGTGACAGTGTTTCCCTGTGGAACCCTGACAGAAATCTCCCTGCCTCCACCTCTCAAGTGTTGGGATTAAAGGTGTGAGCCACCGGCTAACTCAACATTTTTAAGTGCCGGGTAGCCACACGTAGCTGTTGGCTACTGGACAGGATAGGGCACTGCCCTCTGCAAGTGGCTGATGCCCTGAAATGTGAGCTTGGATGGAAAGTTCTACTGAAAAGCCAATTGAATGTTTTCATTTCCCCTTCAGGGTCAAGATCAAACCCAGGGCCTCAGGCATCCTCTTCAAGGACACTACCATTGAGCGGCATCCAAGATCCACAAAACAAGGGGGCACCCCAGTCAATGACCGCATCTTCCCACTCGTGAAAGCGAAACGAAAACTCTGGCAGATTGGCAAATATATTTCTGAAATAGAAAGATCCCTCAGAAGTCAACATGTTTGGGAGGTGGGAAAGTTTTTCTCAAAGCCAATGCTGATGGTTACGCAGTCTGTGATCATACTAAAAACCCAGCCGTGTAAGTCGGAGAGCGAACTGTATCTTAGAAACTGAGTCTCAGTAGAATTGCTTCGCAACTAATAAAAGGCAAAGGGGGAGGAGAGGGGGCGGTGGAGGCAGGGGTGCAGCTCAGTTGGTAGAGTTCTTGCTTGCGCACTAAGCCCTGGGCTCCTCCCTCAGCTATACACAAAACAGATATGGTGTCATAGCCCGGAAACAGAAGCAAGAGGATCAAAAGTTCAAGGTT